TTGTCGTTATTATTATCGATCTTATTACCATCATTATTATTATCGTTTGTATCATCAATATTATTTTTATTTAATTATGATTTTTTTATCATCATTATTATCATTATCATTATTAACTGTGATTACTTTTAGTGTTGTTTTTAACATCAATATAATTTGCATCATTATCATTATCATTAGTATGATTTTTATTGTCATGATCATTATAATCATCATTTTTAGTATCATTATAATTATCATTACTGTTATCATTCTTATTGCTACTATCATTATCACCATTATTACTACTATCATTATCACCATTATTACTACTATCATTATCACCATTATTACTACTATCATTATCACCATTATTATTACTATCATTATTGAAAATCCTTCTTTAAATCTGCTTATTTGCTTCAATTCCTTCAAACCCCAGTCACCTTACGCAGAATAAAAACTTTTGGTAGTTTTCCAGTATTCATATGGAGAGGGATTTGCAGAGAGAGAGAATAAGATTAAGATTTTAAGATTTAGTTTCAATTCCATTTATTGCAATGGATATCCTTTGCTGTGACAGACTGTCTGTTTTATTTTGCCTTCTGAATCTCCCCCTGTGTGCATGGAATGGCCGGGGATACCATTCACTGGCAGTGCGCAGGATCGCCAGCAGGATTGCAAGACCAGCATGTTCACCACTGCACTGCACAGCCCATAATAGTCCTGGTCAATATTATTTTCTGGTACTCTTAGCATAAAGATTTCGCTTGTCAGGCATTTTCTCAAGATGTCTCCAGCAGTCCTTCTTGATCATCCCAAGTGCTCCTACAATTATTGCCTCAGGTGCCATATCTTCTTTTTATTTAATGATCTTTATGTTTGTTCCTTTTTTCATACTCATTAACATCGGTCATACCAATCAGGAGGGGAGGTATCATTATCATTATTATTATCAGTATTATCATCATTATCATTATTACTATCATTATCATTGTTATTGTCATCATCATCATCATTGCTATCATTATCATTATTGTAATTATCTTTATCATCATTAATATCATTATCACTATTGTTAATACTTTTACTGTCATTATCATTAATGGTAACAGTTTTGCTGTCATTATCATTATCATCATCACTTTTATTGTTATCATTGTCACTGTTGTTGTTATCTTTATAACTATCATTATTTTCATTATCATTCCTGATGAAGATAGCAATATCATTATTATTATTATCATTATTTCCATCAACATCATTATCATCATTATCATTACTTTGATTATCATTATTATCATTATTATTATCATTATCGTTATTCTCAACATTATCATTATCATCCTCAATCTTATTATCATTGTCATTATCATTACTATTATTATGACTGCTATTATCATTATTATCATTGGCATCATCAATGTCGTTTTCGTTTGATCATTCCTTTTACTTTTATTATCATTATCATCAACATTATCATTATTATCACTTCCTTATGTCTCATTATCTTATGCTGCATTCAAATCCCTACATTACTCGAATAGGAAATTGAATAGGAATAGAAAAAGATGATGATGGTGATAATGAAGATGATAATGATGATGATGTTGATGATGATAACGATGTTGATAGTAATGATGATGATGATGATGATGATGATGATGATGATGATGATAACGATGTTGATAGTAATGCTAATGATGATGATGATGATGATGATGATGATGATGATGATGATGATGATGATGATGATGATGATGATGTTGATGTTGATGAGGATATCGATGTTGATGGTGATGATGATGATGATGATGATGATAATGATGATGGTGGTGGTAATGATGTTGATGATAATAATGAATAAAGAGAGAGAGAGAGAAAGAAAAAGAAAAGAGAAAGAATAATAGGGAAAAAAGTAAAACAAGAAAAATAGGAAGAAATAAAAAGAAGAGGAAGTAAAAAGGGTAATATAATGAAGAGAAGGGGAATAGAAAGAATTGAAATAATAATGATTGTAAGAGGAAGAAAAGAAAGCCAAGAATTGGAAAAAAAGAAGCACAGAAAGAAGAAAGACAGAAGAAAAGAACAATAAAAACAATAATGGAGGAAAAAGAAAACTGACAACGATAAAAAAAAAAAAGAATCATAAACAGAAGAAAATAAAAAATGTTTTCTAAAAAGATATATACATTATTATAATAAGAGAGAGGTAAGAAACGAAAAAGAAACTATAGGTCTTAAGAAAAAAAAATCCCCAACCGACATCTTTCCCATTCCATCGCGGGAGACCGACTGACTCTGCCCCTGAAGCCACGCCCACTTTTCCCGGCCTCAAGGTCAGACGTCCCGGGACTGGACCACAGGACAAATGTTTCCTATTATGCGGCGGTGTTGCATGTACGAAGAATTTTAACGATTTTGTCGTAATCAAGGAGCGCGTGCGAGAATGTGAGAACTTTTAAGGGAATACTTTTTGAAGTACGTAGATATATATATTTCTCTCTCTCTCTCTCTCTCTCTCTCTCTCTCTCTCTCTCTCTCTCTCTCTCTCTCTCTCTCTCTCTCTCTCTCTCTTCTCTCTCTCTCTCTCTCTCTCTCTCTCTCTCTCTCTCTCTCTCTCTCTCTCTCTCTCTCTCTCTCTCTCTCTCTCTCTCTCTCTCTCTTTCTTTTTCTTTCTTTTTGGAGTGATATCTGTTCCACGGCTCAAGAAATGACTGATTAGTCTCCTTGTAAAGATAAAGCGAAATGAAGGGAATTCCCGTGTATGTTTTAAATTAGCTATGTTAGGTGTTAATTTTTATACGAAATTATGTCTATCCATTTAAGATCATTCTTACATCTCAGAATTTTTTGTCAGAACTATAAAAATTCAGCTCTGGCATTGGTATATTCTTTATTCTTAATGCTCTCTTTCTTTCTCTTTCTCTCTTTCTCTCTCTGTCTCACTTTCTCCCACTTTTTCTCTCTCTCCCTCCCTCTTCCTCCTTCCCTTGCGATAATACTATTAATCTAGATCATTTATCATTATCTGATAAACCCTCAACATTAACGCATGGATCCATAGCATTCTTTCCTTCATCCAGGTTCTGTGGCCGAGGGAGATGTAGTTCCCGGTTCTACAGGAGGAAGGGGGAATTCCTGCCCCTCCGCACCCCCCCTTCCCCTCTTCCCCTACGATCGGCAGGGTATATAAGGCGGCCCAGAAACGGGAAAGGGCACACTGTCCCTCCTCTGTGACACGACACAGTCTCCATTGTATCAGAATGAAGTTGGTAAGTTGAGGATTTGTGTGTGTGTGTGTGTGTGTGTGTGTGTGCGTGTATGTGTGTGTGTTTAGAAGTTATAACGACTAAAACGTATCTGCTAGGATCGCTATTCAAATCATTTAACTTTGCAGATTTCGCTGTTGATGGCCCTGGTGGTGGCCCTCTCTGGCCTCTTGGGTTCAGCTCGTGCCATGCCTGACCCTTACCCAGTAGCTGACCCCGTGGCTGACCCTGACCCCGTAGCTGACCCCTGGTTCTTCAAACGCAAGCACTACTATCCCCGCCGGTATTACTACCCTCGCTACCACCACTACCATCACTGGTGAACATGAGGAAACGTTTTTCTACCTTAAAAACGTTTATTCGAAGAGCAAATATCACAGTGAATTTACATAACATACAATTTCTGTCTCCCTAGTACTGCCGTGTAATAAAATCTTGATGTATATTATATATATGGTTTATCTTTCCCAATACATGAATCTATACGATGATAAATACGTTTCGAACATCAAGATCAGTGTAATACATTATTTCTTTAAAAAAAAAAATGTGATTTAGTTATACCAAGTGTGTATTTTTCACTGATATTAAATCATCATAGATCGGTAAACCTCCATGCATCTATCTGTGTGTGTGTGGGTGTGTTTCGTATGTATATTCATATTGGTATGTGTGTGTACATGTGCATATGCGTGCACATACATATGTGTATGTGTGTGTGCATTTACACATGCATGTATGCATATTTACAATTATATGATCACAATACTCCTATTCGGGTGCGAGTGTTTTGCTTCCCCCCTTAAAATATATATAAATATATATTACACATATATATTACATATATATGTGTGATTATTTACAGTATAAATGTGTATTTATGCATTATATATATAGTGTTATACCGTATGTGTTTGTATGTGTGTATACATCCATATATATGTATGTATGTGTGTATACATCCATATATATGTGTATGTGTGTATACATCCATATATATGTGTGTGTATGTATGTATACATCCATATATATGTGTGTGTGTATTCATACATATATACATTTGTATGTATGTGTGGGTGTAGACATGTGTGTATGTGTGCATATGTACATATATATACATATATATCACATACATGTGTGTGCCCATATATATACATTTATATATACGTGTGTGCGTGATGGGATATCTTAAATATATGCATATATACGTGTGTATGTATACATTTATATACATCTATATATGTAAGTATGTATGTTTATAGATAGAGAGATGAATATATATACACATATAAACATAACGTATATACATGTATATATACATCTATATATAATGCATACATATATATATGTGCGTGTGAGTATATATATATATATATATATATATATATATATATATATATATATATATATGTAATATACACATATACATATATATGTGTACATATATACACACATAGATACATGCAACCACCCACACATGTATATGCACATATACATATTTATATGTATATATGTGTGTGTGTTTATGTGCACACATATATAAACTTGTATATATATATACATATATATGTGTGTCTGTATTATGTGTATATGTGTGTATGTATTGTGTATATGTGTGTATGCACGGATGCATGGATATACATTTACATAATCTAGTGACACAGTACATTCTGAAATTCTTCTTAAAGTTTCAGGAAAATTATCAAATATGTAAACTCCTAAAATTCTCATAAGTCAGAAGACAGAACA